GTTCTTCATATTAGAGACATATGGCTTCAGTCACCTGTTGGAGGCCTAGATTAGAAAACTGAAGAAGTAGAGCCCTCAAGGAGCATATAGGTCATTACACTCATTTACATGTAGGAATCAAGTCATTCTATATTCTTGCTTCACCCCACTCCCCTTACCCCAATCTGTGCCACCCTCAGGAACACTCTGAGAGTAATCAGCTCTGAGATCGGTTTGAATTGTAGTGGGGAATAGTTGAAGAATACTCACAAGCTGGGTAACTTTGGTCACTTTAAATGAGCCCCTGGCTTTTCCAGTGTGAAATGTGGTTAACAACCACCATTGCTAAATGGTTGTCATAAAGTTTAAAGAGACAATTATATGTAAGGTCATTGAAAATACTAGGAATTCTTGTATTTAGACAAGCCATAAGCCTCCTCCATCACAGCTGGTGGGAGCCTTTCCAGGATAGAGATAGGTCAGGGATGACTTGTTTGGGAAGAGGCCTTTCCTGGAAGCTGGAATGAGTATCCTTTCTCCATTCTAGTTCTGGCCATCTGGACACACCACAAAGACATCTCTCCTGACCCCTCAGCCTCCCAGAAAATCCTGAGGAAAGTCGAAGAAGAAGCCATCATTCTCAACACAATGATCTTGAAATTGTAAAGGCCCTGTGGCCCTCCCCTTTTGAAGGCCTTCTGAAAATGATACTTGAAATCCATTGCCACCTCTGCTCCCAGTCAAGAGGAAAATCTTAGTAATTAAGCAAAGCAATTTGGAGACTTAGTAATTAGAGAGGCAAGTGACAATTACATCAATGAATATAGCAGTGCTCTCATCAGTGAATAAAACTTAAGGGCAGGAATAGGTAAAATGCTCTTAGCAAATAAGTTTGTAAGTTAGTAAGGCCATCCTTTATGGTAATAAATAATATGGATTTATCATGTAGACCATATAGGGCTTTCATAAATAATTCTTTTGGCGGTAAGATGTGCTTTCCTAAGGTACCTCAGGAAAGAATCAGCTGCATCCAGGAATGTAAGACCCCCCACTATTTATTTCCTCACTCACTACTGTAGTACCTACATCAGGTCATCAGGGAACACTAAGACTAGGTGTAGTCTTCTTGCTCTGAAGTAGGTAATTGAGATTCAAGTCTGGTAGCTGGGGAAGATGGATGCTAAGAGCTGAGACTTTGACTTTGGTGGAGCAAGATGGCAGACCCCATGAGGGCAGTAGAGAAAGAGATTAAATGAGGAGAAATAAAGGGTAAAAGGTTACTGAAGGAGATGGTTTAATTATCTCTTTCTCCAAATCCTGGTGGATGGGGATATCCCCAAGGTCTAGACACACAAGGCTTACACCCTAAAACCTTTCAGTAAATAAGTACTTTATTAGGGTCAGTGTTTAGCTGCTCTCAAGAAGGGCAGGTGAGGCAGTGCCAGAATAGACAGACCCCCTATGGTGTCTCTGATAGGCAGCATAAGACATCACTTGGGAGTCTGTGAGCAGGAAGGAGCATCTATGTATATATATAGGTAACACCATGATGAAAGAAACAATATGGTCACTCCACTGGCTTTGGGTAATGAATCTACCTCTGAGGAGATGGACTTGGAAGCATTAAGAAAGAATTGAGGGTAGGGGACTCCTAACTGAGATGGTCTCTTGCTGGGTCCATAAAACAACTTTTATGATTCCATGAGTTCCAGGCAGGTACTGAACTCACAGCTACAAGGAAAAGGAGCAAGGTCAGGAATGGGCTTTGAAGTCTGGTCCAAGAGTCAGGTAACCTGAAGGACAGTCCCATCAGTAAGGGCACTTGAAGTGTCCCGTTATAGGATCATATTTGATTCTTGTGACCAACTCTTCCAGAAAGAACATGAAAGGTCATAGCCTATGGATTGCCTGGCAATAGTACAGCAGGGATGCAGGTTGAGAATAAGCTGGGGTATCCTGCCCCACCCCCACCAGGTAAATTCCCCTTATTTTGCTATTGGGAAACAAGCACACACATATACACACAAAAATGGCACGAGAGCTATGCCTGAGGTGTCTTTTTACTTCTTTTATTGAACTCCATAAATATTTTCATAAGGCTTTGTGTCATTACAACATCGTAGTTTTGTTGTTAAACATTTTTTTAAACACACAACTTTGACATTTGTTTGACAGGGTCAAACAGTCAATTAGGAGAAACAAAATAAACTGGCAAATGCAGAGCAGCAGGGGTAATCAAAATCACCGTTGCCCATCCAACCACCCCAGCCCACCCCATCCCCAAAGCACTAAAAGATCACTATTTGGCTTTACACTAGAACTGTTAGAACTCTCTTGTTGCTGTTCTTATAAATCCATTAGAGATATACACATAGAGAGAATGGGGGAGAGGGAGAGAGAAAGAGGAGTTGAGTTTCTGTGTTAGGACCATCCCACAGCAGGGCCCATAGAACACAATAGCAAAGCCTTTTGAAGAGCAAATCCAAGCCTCATTGAGTTGAGGAAAAGGGAGCTCAGGGCCATGCAGAAACAAAGATTTACAGAGTTCTTAGGGATAGCACTGCTGTGAGGACACAGAATAGGACTGGACCATGAGCCCAGATAATGGGACTCCCCATGGGGCTGCTGGCCACTGGTTTGATTTGCTGCCATAGGCTGGGGGAACACTACAACCAAGGGAAAACTTATTTCTTGGTGTTTTCACAAGTCATTGGCATCTGGTGAAGCCCGGGGGTTGGGTGGATGAGAGATAGATGGATGGGAGGTGGATGGCGAGAGGCAATATCCCTGATCATGGAGCTCTGGGTACAGGTCTAGGGGAGCACAGGGACAAGGGTGTTTGACCAAGAGATATTGTAGGCCCAGGGACTTGTCTGAGAATCCCCTTTTGGTGGGCTCCAAGACCTCATAGAAACATGTCAGTGCCAAGTAGGAAAGAATGTAAGTTCAAGAAAGGCCTACCCAGTTATTTAAACACATTCTGCTTGCCAGAGAGGCCATTTTATCTTATGCACTAGGTACAGGTTCCTTGCCAAGGGTGCTTAAGTAGCTGGGTCATGTTCTGAGCAGTGGTGGCCAGTCCCAAGCCCTGGCCCTCTGCCCAATTCAAGCTTATACTTGGCTCATTCCACAAGTCTGAATGGAAGCTGAAACACCTTGCAGTTTAATTCCCACAGAAGAAAAATTCCCAGGCTGGGTAGGACTGGTCTGGGTCAGGAGTCATAGAGCAGCAATCAAGCCAGCTACACTGAGGGCCCCATGCAGCCATGGTACTGCTTAGTAAGCTGAGGTCCTTTCATGACGCAGTCTTCTCCCAAGGGGTTCTGAACAGACTCACAATCTCCAGATTCCTCACTAGAGTTCTCCATAGCAAGGTCAATCCTTACTTCTTTGTACTCCATTCTTCTTGCTATTCAACGTCTATCCACACAAGGGGCCATGTGGGGAGGAGAAGCAAGTACTCCTGTACCCACAGGGAACTCTTTCTGGGAGAAGTTAGTTTTACCCCAGTGTAAATCCTGCCCCAAAATGAGCCTAAGTATGGGATTTCTGTCTCAGATCCTTTCTCCATAGGGAAAAATCCCCCTGGAATCCTTACTTGCTTCAAATGTCCTGAGATGGGACAATGTTGGAAATGGGACCTTCTTCAAGTGCCAGAGTGCTTTAACTATGGCAATACCACCAATCTTCCGGTGCCAATAGAGCAGGAAAAAGAAGAAAGATAGGAAGAGGGGAAGAAAAGGGAGATTGTCCATGCAATCTGCTAATAATTAGGGAAGTCTCAAATAACTTGAATGGTAGGAACTGCAGGTACATATCTTAGGCCAAGGCTGTCTATTTCCATACCCACCCGTTTTTTTTTTTTTCCTGTATAATTTAAAGACAGATGATGATCTTGGTAAGGTACGGTAGACTCTATCTTTATCCATTTATAGACTCCTATCAATGCTGCCTAAACAATCTGCAAATGGAAACTGGGATGAACGGGCCCTCAAACTGATTGCAGTGGGGAGCCCTTTCTTAAATCTATTTGGTACTGGAGGCAGTTGAATCCCTCCAACAGGAGGCAGAGTTTCAGCCTGTTTGCTTCCAGTTCAGATCTTTTAGGTTAGGAGAGGGACAGGCTTAGAAGGAAAACCATAACCAAAGCATCTTGAAGAACAGAATAATTTGTGAAACTAAATCCCAGATACAAAACTGTCACAACTCAGTAGTGCTGCAACATGGGAAACCCCAGTGCTAGGAGAAGAAATAGCCCAAATGCAGAATGTTCCCTGAACAGAAGTCTTCTCCTGCATCATTATACTCTGACATGCCCTTGCTTATTTTGGTTTTGATCCCTCTACAATACCAAAACATAGTGAAAGCAATAGGAATATTGAGTAGTTATGTCACAGGGCACAACAGAGCACATCCAGACTCACACAATTGAGAACAGAAGATGCAGGGAAAAGGCTGTTTGGGGCAACTATAGGGCTGCATAAACATTTGAAGATAGATGGTCAGCTGAAGGAGAGGAGAAAGAAGACCCTCCCTTTACCTAGTAAAAAGTAAAAGGAAAAACAATTCTAAACTCCCAAACCCACCACATTAAATTAAATTAAAAAGTCATCAGCATCAGTATCATTGGTAAAGAAAAAAACCCCAGTATAAACACATCTATGGTAATAATGACAAGTCAATGAATCACTCAGGGGAGTAAAAAGATTATCTCAACAAGAAAAGGAACAAATAGAAATGTCAATTTCTGAAAGTAAAGGGGAAGGGGATAGAGCAAGAATAATAAAAAAAAAACTTTTAAGAAGAGATCAAATGTTTAGAAGTCATTGATACCTCTTCCTACCAACTATAGATTTCACTTCCCCCAAAGAACAGAAAACATTTTTGGTCCTTGTGTGTGTGTGTGTGTGTGTGTGTGTGTGTGTGTGTGTACACTCAAGGGTCTCTCTTTGTGTGTATATGTCCATATATATATTTATAAATTTCAACAGTGCTTCTCCGAAAAAAGGTCCATCTATAAATATAATTTTATTTACTTTATTTTAAAATTATCTGCCTCCCTGTAGGTACTATTTTTTGAAGGGGGTTAACCTGCTGAAGTTTTGCCAGAATGGTGACTGGCTGCGCTTGGGTTCGGTGAACTCAAAGACCTGTGACTGAGCGATGCCATCTGGTACCAGGTACTGGCCCTGGTTTAATGGGTCCTGCGGTGGTGGGTAGGAAGGAGGAACTGAGCGGGCAGAGTTGACACCTAGAGTAGATGAAAGATCAAAGGGAAAAGTTATAAGTTAAGTAGCAAGGGACTTCTCAAATTACCCACTGACCACTATGGGCAGACATTTCAAAGCATCCATTTTAGAGAGTGTGAACTGGAACTGAAAATCACCAAGGGAAGATTTACATTCCTTCATAGATTTTGGAATGGTGTGGTGATTACTGCAGCAACATATGCTTTGCCATCTACACAGCATTACTGAGAAATCTGGGATGTTGCCATCATCCATTTTACAGATGAAGACACTGAGACCTGGAGGGAAATGCCATACCCAATGTCACAAAGCAAGGGCTAGAATCCACATTCTTTGACTTCTCAGTTCAGAGCTCTTTCCAAGAGACCATAAGCATCAATCAGACTGTCAAACCTCAGAGGGAAGGTAGGGGAAGGTGGGGGTAAAAGGGAGAGATCAACCAAAGGACTTATAT